AACGCCCTGTTTTCGAAGTCTTGCATATACATGTTCGACTGTACAGGGGATTTTCGCCATCCCATGGCGAGCTTATTTTTCTGGCTTTACATTTTATCCGTCATTCCCATGACGTGCGAAAAGCACTTGGACTATCCCCGCTTTGACTGTACCACCTGAGTTGACATCACGAACTCTAACCGTAATGACATCTTTGCTCTTGTCTCAGGTAAAGCGGTTTGCACTCCAGCTGGCTATGAATTCCGCTGCCATTGCCCACAGATTCACCTGGTCTGACGGAGCGCTTGTTCAAGGGCGAAAGGTTACCAAACTATTACTGCAACCGACTTTTCCAAACCTCTCTGAACTTGTGACTACTTAATCGGTTTTAAGTATCTTCTAAGAATTCGCTATCTAACGCTGACCGCCTGTTCAAAATTGGGGTGAATTCGCTCGATTGGTTGGTCTTGAATCGAACTGGGAGAATTACCGCCTTTACAACTTGAGATGTCTTAAAACGTACCTTATTCCGAAATGTCTCAGCGAAACCTCCGGATAGTACGTACATCTCTGCAAGGAGTGCATTTAATGCTTCCAAGACCTTTCTGAGAAGGCGAATTTACCTAGTGACCAAGCGTTTAAGCGAGATCCGCATCAACGCAAGTCTCTTGAGCCTGGATATAATACTACCATAACGCTTTTCGACTACAACCGAGCTTTCACTAAGGCTTCATACGGCAAACTGAAACAAGGGCAGAATGCAAAGAAAAGACAAATGCGCAAGTTCGAGCGTTTAATATCTGTGCATCCTAATGCTACCGGTCCTAGTGACAGGTCCGGGTCTATTGGTATCTCTTTTAATGTAGTTCATATGTCAGATAGGGTTTTGAATGAAACGGAATGCAGATTGTTGGGGAAAGATTTGCCATTTACCATCAATAAATCTAAGGTATATGCGGAAGAGATTATCCCAAACATTGAGAGCGCGATGACAAAGTTGTCCGCTGCGAAGGCAGAGAATATTCCGTCGCAGTTAGTGAATGTCAGTAAGTTTCATCAACCGGGTGAGCCAAATCTCCCGCAAACTGAACGCAGCGCATTAAATTCCTTGAAGGAAGATTGCAGCAATGTACTTACGAAGGCTGACAAGGGGAAATCCCTGGTTGTAATAGATAGGTCAGAATATTTGGAAAAATGGGATAACATTTGGAGACGGGTCCATATGGAGTAGTTATTGTTAAGACCGTGAGGTCAGAAATGCAAAAGGGTGAAACTGAGGATGGCAACTATTTAAGAACCGTGAAGGAGGATTTAGAGATAGGCAAGTGGTACAGTCTATACCCCAAATCGACTTTACTTCCTAGGGTTGATGGCTGACCAAATGTTTACAAACCCGAAGTTCCCGTACGGCCCATAGTTGACGGTATAGGCTCCCCGACCCATGAACTGGCTGGATATTTTTCAAGATTATTGCACCCTCTAACAGGACGAACAAACGCATTCGTGAAAAATTCCTATAAGTTTGCTCAAAAGATAGCAAGTATCGAAATAGAGTCAGATGAGTTGATGGTCAGATTCGATATCACATCACGCTTCACCAAGGCGCTGAGAAAAGAAAAGGCGCTGAGAATAGCAAGCGGTTGTCGAAATGAAGATGTCACTCTGAGTGATCGGACGAAACTAACGGTTAACCAGATAATCGCGGGTGCGTCAGTGTGTATTAAGATGGCTTACTTCCTTTTCAAATCGAAGCTGCACAGTCAGTAAAAAGATCTCGCCATGGGACGGCGAAAATCCCCTGTACAGTCGAACATGTATATGCAAGACTTCGAAAACAGGGCGTTAACAAACGCCAATAACTCACCAAAAGTTTGGTGGCCCAAAGATACACTAAACTTGTACACGTTAAACGGGATAAGAAGGATGAGTTGCTTGATCACTTAAACTCCATTGATGAGAGGACACTTTTTACTATTGAGTTGGAATCTTGTACCGGTACAATACCATTTCTTGACTGCCTGGTTCACAGGAATGGGGGAAATTTAAGGACGACAATATATCGCAGGCCAGCAGATACTGACGGCGTACTCCACTACACTTCGAGTCATCCGAAAGAGGTTTGCGCTGGGATATCTTTAGCGCTGTTCTACAGGGCACAAACCATGTGCACGACGGATGGGGACAAACAGGCTGCGAGGAAAGTGGCAATGATCAAACTATTCGAACGTTGCTACCCACGGCCGCTGGTCAAGTGCCAATTTCACAAAGTGCTGAAGTAGCAGTCAAGACCCACAACTGACTGGGTATGGGACGGTAGAATTTTCATACAATGAAGACAGTTTGGAGGGTAGTAAACAAGGAAAATATAACGGTTATCTTTCAGCGAGGTCGAACGTTACATTCGGCGCTGGTGCACATAAAGGACCCCCTTCGCAAGGACAGGAGGACTAACTGTGTTTAGAAGATTAAATGTAAGCGCTGCGCACATGTGTACATAGACCAAACAGCGAGAGAATTACGCACAGTAATTTCAGAGCACAGGAAGCGCATTTCAATGCCACCAAGAAACGAGTTTAAAATTACTCGGCAATAGTTGGAGACTCGGCCGTGGCTGTGCATGCATCAGACACAAGTCACCAGCTAAACTTGGTAAATGTAGAGGTAATTAGGAGGGACATACTATCAACACCTCAGCGGTTGATTGCCGAGGCGGTGGAAATGGCCAAATCAGACGAATGCGTGAATAGAATGGAGGGGGTAGCTCTCTAATGCATGGCGAGCGATTTTAAGCCGAACAGTCTGACGAGCATTGGTTCGTGGATCAGTTTGGAAAGTGCAAACTGACTCGCATTGTCAACACTTTGGGCGTATCCGTCAATGCCATGAGATACAAAGGAACACCTGGACTATTCCCACTGTGATTGAACCACCTGAGGTGACATCACGAACTGTTACCCTAATGACACCTTGGCTCTTGTCTCGGGTAACGCGATTAGCGCCCCTGCTCTCTATAAAATTCCACTCCCATTGCACACGGATTCACCTGGTCTGACGAAGCCGTTGTGTCAATGGCGAAAAATGCCCAAACTGATATACCAACCGATTGTTTCTAAGCCTCTCTGAACTCATAACTTCTCATTGTATTCCAATTGTCTTCCAATAATTCGAAGACCAATTTTTCACTTTATTCGTTAAACAAATCTTTCGGAACGGATGTTCGCTTAGTAACAAACCGGGCATGTCTAACCATCCTGTACGATATTCTGATTTTTATATTTTTTCTACATGGACTGAACTGGCTTGATATTGCCTTCGAATACGTCGTGGTTCTACTATTCTCTTTGAAGGAAGGTGTTGTTTTGGTCGGGTGTAGCAGAAGTCTCGTTTTTCTGGCCACTGCTTTAAGGGTCTGCTAATTTTCATCTAGATGCGGATAGGACTTTTTCTTTTAAAGAGAATGAAGAAATATGTTTCCGTCTTCACATACCCACAAATGTGCTGTGTTCACCCAACCGGTGACTGGCTTTTGTTTGTGCTACGAGGAAAATGCAACGCTCCCAGTGCACTCTTGTAGGTGCACATCGGTGGAGGGTGATCACCGAGTTACTCAGTCGGGTATTACGTAGCATTATTTGTGGTACGGTTAGATTTTATGTTTCGCTGAGCTGAATTTTTGACTCATAGATTAAGGTCAATGAATCCGTTGCACTTGTGCGAATAAATTAGAGTTATTTAATTTTGCACGAATTGTGCATCACTAATGAGCTGGAGAGTGGAATCGTGAAATCCTCATAAATTAGAATTTTTATGCTGTGTTAAGTCCAAAAGTATTGAACTGAATGCTTTACTCTTCAAATTTGTAGCTCTCCTAAAAGTAAAAAATTGACTATAATGCCCGGAAATATGAATTTGTTTTCCCGGGGTATTTGATCTCACAGTGCATTAAGTTGAAATTTTGGTAAATAATCTTTTCCTTTAAAATAACTTTCCTACTCTTATGGACAGACTGCATTCCGGCCTATGTACTTCCATCTGAAAAATAGCTGAAACTACACTTTAGGATATGTATGACGTATAGGTTTTAGCTTAATAGTAATGCCTGAAATTGTCAGAATTTCACAAGCACGCGCAGCATATACGTGCTTCATTTCTGTCCACTTCTTGTCTTGGATGTTCGTTTCCTATCATCCGCCCCCTTTTTTCAAGTGTACTCACTGGAGTTCAAGAAAGCGCATTTTGATTACCTTTCAATTCACTTACCCAGCGTCCGTACTAAAGTCAGGTGGAGAATCTGGTTAACATAGACTGCACAGAATCAGCACTTCTCATGCTTCACACATGCGTATCAGAAGTGTTCGCTTTTCACTATGTCCGTCGGAATAATCACTTCGTTTAAAATGATGTGTTAATAAATGCCGTCATTTCGTTTCTCCTACTCTGCATGGCATATTTACTAACAACAGAAAGAGGAATTTTTCCGGAAACTACAATGTATCTTTAACTGTGTCCTTGTTTTATGCGTAAGGGCGTTTTCAAACATCCACGCATTTTACGCTGACATGTGACCTAATGGAAGCATTAAAGGCCGGTTATGGAAATTGAAGCAATAAAAGAAGAGAAATCGAGGAACGTTAGGCTCACCTACGCTGCGCATGTGATCAAAATTTTTGGACCACGTGAACTAGCCCGATGAAACCGGGACACAGTTATTTGCGGAGGCATTTCTGGGCTGTTAATCAGTCTGGGAAATAGCCCAGCGAACCGGATAGGGTTGTACTACGAACAGTAATCCAAATGAAGCTTCAACCATTACCCTGAAACAACTGTATCTTATTATGCGAATAAAAAGCTATTCTAATTACGTTCGTTTTATTTCGGCCTGTTACCAAGTGTTATCCCAATATATAGGGTGTTTTCAGGACACCATTATATTGGAGGTGGAGCACCTAATGGAGCATCGAGTTTATAGCCACTGCGGCCGGGCCAAGCAAAGCCAGGAATATGTTAAAATCTTGAATTACCTGGGAGAATGGGGAGATATTAACAGTCTTTCCTGTTTGGCTAAGCCTTGTGCATCAGCTGTGGTCATGAGAACATCTGGTTTGGGTTGAGGTCCCATCTTTGGAGCATCAACTGTGAAATGTTGAGCAGATAGCGGAGACATCAATATCGGAAGGCGCTTAGGAGGTAAAAACATCAATTGAGTGCCGGATGGAAGCCGTACTCCTTGTGGAGCAATCGCCACTGGAATTTGGATGAATTTGATTGCGCTTCCCTGAGATATTGGCTGAGCTGACTGTGATTGCTCTGTGCTTGTGTTCAAATGTGTCTGGCTTGTGCACTGATCGACCTCCTCCCCCAATTTCACTGTTGCAGAAGGTAAAAAAGGAAAGTTTAGAAAGCGTGACAACAAAATGGCCAATTAGCCGGATTTTGTGGATATTTGGTGCTACTAAAGACTCGAGCAGTTAATGATATGGTTTAAGAAACCGGCCAGTTACTTAGAGTGCAATATTCAATCTTATTTGGGACCTCACTTTAATTTGGAGTAAGTCTTTGTCCTAAGATCAACTGGACCTCATCCGAAGCGGCCAGCGGCGTTACTAGCCTGGTGGCTCAATTCTCGTGGCATCAGCTGTCAAAAACTGCTTTCAGTTCCAACTTGACACAACCAGCTTTTAACTGTGTGCACCATATGCCTTTAAGGCATAATCCAGACATATAAGACGATGAAATGAGGTTGTAAGCAACTTACTGGGTTCTCTTTGTATTACAGGCACCGGATTTGATATCGCATTACACACTTTATATTATTCTGGTTATCTTTCTGGGTTGAATGCTCTACCAAGTGATAAAATGGATTCTCCCGATTAAAAAGCATGTACACCGTTGAAAAATGCTTGCCGTACTGGCAGAACTCGGGTGATATGTAACAGTTCCGTCACAGAAACACAGCGTTGTGACCCCATCAGGGGAAGATCACCTGACGTCGGTTCGACAAGTATTTTCTGCTGTCCCAGATGTCACACCTAGTTCTATCTAACGAAGGTAGTCACGTGAGATTGGACATCGGCCAAAGTGGAGACAGTACATTTTTGCACATTCCACAGCTCTCAGATGCACGCCATCCTTAATTGTTGCAAATACAGTGCAAAGTATTGGAGCTGGTAGCTGGTGTCGAATAATATTGATCGAAGGATTTTTGAAGTTGTCCAATAGTTAGTGCAGGAATGCGGTTACTGGGCAATTGGTTATTAGAACCAGCAATTCCTATAAACCAACCTTCAATGTCATCCTTGGTATGCCACGTGGGAGCGGAGATGTTTGTATTTCCCAAAAGAACTTAACTTATTATATGTCTGCGTAGTGCTTGGGGTTGGCACGATTGAATTACACTATCTTAAGTGCAATGGCTTCTGACCCAGCTTTAGTGTTGTTAATATCTTCGGAAGAATTGAGGTGCAGCTATTGGGTTTGGATTTGTCTGTTCTAATCATCATGTGGATCAGGAGCGGTAAAAAAACCCAGCTTAATCGATCTAACACTCCGATCCTTCGGGTGTAATTGTTAATCCATATATCCCGGACATATTTCAGAGACCTAGGGCAACAATCGTGCAACACCCTATATTCCGATGTCTCATCTGGTATGGTCCCAGTGACCGAACTGAGTACAGTTAAATTCAGTGCGAATAGCGGTGAAAATTAAAATTGTGCTTTGCAGTCCGCGCACAAAAATTGACCTATCGATCAATAGTACAAGGCCTTCAAGCTAAGCCACGAAATAAGTACAGAAATGCCTAGTAACATTTGAAATATGGCAGAGGGAGGGAGTGTAAATAATGATGTAGTCGACATTGCTTATAATGCATTACTCATGACGTTGAATAATGATGATCGAGAATAACGAAATACAATTCGGTCATGCAAACTCTATTTAGAAACCAGCTTTGATTTGATCGGGGCACTATTTTAGATCCCACAAGCTCTTGGGCACAATGAACATTGTAGTAAACATGGTTTATCTGGCGTATGTGTTGCATCAAATTGCCATTGGATCTGAATACATATCACAATATATGAGCCGTACAAAGTATTTAAAGTTCGCTTAGGAATAAGGTGCTATACACTTATAATTAACTGCTTGTTACTACATAACAATGGATTCGTCGACTTTGTAGACATATTGGACACTAAACCTGTGTTTTGTGACCCAACACTTTCGGTATTCCCAGGATGTGTGAACAAATCAAGGATTACCCAAGCAAGATCATCTTCAAGAAAAATGGTGCATTCGTCGTGTTTGCAGTCAGTAATTTAAGTCAGATATTCACAATTTCCAAACGAATTAGGACAATATATGTTGAGCGAGCCCGGAGTTTAACCAACGTCTACATTACCCACCAAAATTGCATAATAACTGAGCCCAAGTGAACAACATGTTGCGTTAACCATTGATTGTGCGCTGGTGATAATACTTCAGTTATTGTGTATAACACTTGTGTGCGTTTTATTAATCTCCCGATTCCCCATAACAAGCAGCAAATAGCATTAAAGTACTCAGCGGCCATTCTTCCAGATGGACTCAATTATTTTGTAGTCAGCTACAGATACACTTCTCGTTTATGTCTACGTAAAAGAGTTGGCTATGAAACCGGTGTAAAAGATCATATTTGAAGATGTGTGAGTTAGATTTGCGTTATAATAATAGTGTAGAAAGGCGGTGTAATATAAAAAGTAATTGATCGCAGTTTTGCTACCGCAGTTATATACAGCAAATGGTGGTTTTAGCAAGGGCATTAAGCCCTTGGCTATGTGACCGTTGGTGTAAAGCAATTTAGAATGGAATTCTCCAAAACAAGGCGCTCATCAGTATATTCTTTTTCTTTCAAATTATTTTCCCTCCTAGAAAAGTTTTTGCACACTACTCGTCCATTTTACTAGGTACAGTGTGTATTCGTTAATATTGTTGACTTAACTGGCTTAAATATCGCATTTGCGTTGCTGTAACTGGAAGTTTTGGTTGCCTTAGGAGAAGATTGAACAGTTTTATTGCCATGGTCATGAATTCATCTACTGCATACCTATCATGATTAAACAGAGAGGAAGTTATATTCATCTGTGTTGGCACGCGCGAGCACTAGATATAGTTGATGACACATGCCGTTTAGCAAGTGACCAGCGTAGGTCACTAGTACACACTAACCATCCTCTTCCCTCATTAGGCACGGCCTTATAGTAAACGAATCGAGGTAAAACATTTTCCTGGAAGACAGCAGCTTTCCGTTCTCAGTTGCCATGTGGATTCATCGGTTTTGTCTCTTCTATCCCAAAAATTTGCAGACATGCTGGTGCCGCGTTTAGATATCGGGTGCTAGCCAAGAATACCTTACAGAGCTAGAAATAGTGTAAATGTTAGCGGAAAATCAGTCAGCAAGTTTGGTGCACAAAAGATGGGAAGGTCGTTCAGGAGGCGGTAATTGGCCAGCTACTGGATATCAGATACGACAGTTCGCAACCAAAATGTCAGCTGCATAGTCTGTGAGGTCGCATTGCACATGCACTTTTACTTCCGTTACACTATCTTCGGAACGGAAGATTTCATCACCACGTGCACGTGTACTTAAATCCGAGGTCAACATAATAAAACTACTAGTTTTATCGAGATTGTCTTGGATACCACATCCTCACATCGTGTAATTGAGTCGCATGACCTACATCACGACCGAGGTCAACATAACAAAACTGTTTCATTCTTATCGAGATTGTCTCGGATAACACATTCTCACATTGTGTACTTCTCTTCCCCTTGACCTACATTCACACATCGTACTACTTACGGCCCATGTTTGAATGCCTGAATGAAGTATTATATAAACCGTATAGTACATCGACAACGACACCCGACCGACTACAACGAACGTCACACGACCGCCCCGACTGGTGCTTTGACAACCGTCACAAAAAGCGCTACGCCCACGACGACAAGACAATCCTCACACGACCGGACAGGCCGCGACCTACAATTTCCCCACGAACAGGATTTGTGCTGTGAGATAAGTCGCCACTTTCTCATTACCTTATTTGAGTTACAATATTAAATTCTATTTCGTACATTGTATTCTTACGGCCGGCCTCTCTTTTTTATGTCTTTACTGTACTGATACACAACGAACACGCCTCAATACTTATACTTCATTTTTGTTAGTGCACACCTTCTGATATTTTCAATCCGCCAACTTGTCATAGTAACCGTTATAAGCCACTAACAAGTCTAAACCCACTTTCACGTAGTCCCACGGAGTGGATTGTCCCTTAGGAATTCCATAAAAAGAAAAACGTCAAGACAAATTAGGTTGTTGTTTCATCCCCGGTCATTGCATTTGCGGTCTATTCATCCGTACCCTGTATATTAATGCAGGTCGGTGAGATTAATCAACTTGACCCGCATAACAACGGCATACACAACTGGTCTATACCAGCCGCCCTACCCATGATGGTATGACACACGGATGCAACTCACAAAGCAGGATGTGCCAGACAACTGATCTTGACCTGACGATCTGCCAACGAACTCTAACCGACGACTGGACATCGTTAACCCGCCAAACAGGGAGCCGACCTTTGACCGCCACAGCCACAACACTTGTAACCAGGACGTCAGTCTTTTGTGCTAATCAAGCGTGTGTTAGAGTAGTAAAAGGAAGACTGGCTTGTTCTCACCATAGCAGCCATTGACATTCAAAATGCGACTTAGTACGTCGCAGCGAAGTAAAGAAATATGAATATACCGGGCTCGCTTAAACCATGTCCTAAATGTACGACTGGTCCCAATGTAGAAGGTGTACAAGCGTAAGCACGGAAGTACAACCGTATAATCGCCGAAAATAAACCTTTGTTTGTATGCGTAACTTGCTTCGCCCCATTTGCGACTCTGTCATCTTAAACAGGGACCAGGCGTTGTGGAATTTCCCAGTACCGGAAGCATGGAGAAACATGAAGCAACTTTTGATTGCGAGAGCTCAAATCATGCCCTGCTCCATTGCCAGCATTCTCTTTGAAATAAATGTCAGTGCATATGGATGCTGAAAACCATCAATTCGACTTAGAGCACGCCAGTATCCTCGGAAGGGCTAAATGCCGACAAGCACGTGAATTCATTGAAGCCTGGCATTCAAAAGAGAACTCGATCAATAAGCACTTGGACATTGAAGTCGCTTACGAGACACTTCGAACCAGGCCCCTGAAGCCGCACTGATGATGTTGCCTAGTCAGGCAACGAAACGTCTGCAAAATAATTATCCAGCTCGGAGAACTGCTCAAAATCCGCAGCATTCTCTTATCCAATTTATCAACTGAATTAACGTCGGTACATTCTACACTTTCGATTCATCAAAAGAAAACTAACCTCTCTAAAAGCCGATCCACTTATGCAACCGTTGCTGATCAACGTACTCAAAGTTCGACTTCAGTAGCTTCAATCACTACAGGTATAACTTGGGTCAATGATGGGGTACGACTAGCAGACCCGCCACCAAAAGCACTGATAGCAGTGGTTTCTAAATCACCGGAGACTAACTAGAACTACGTTGTCCTGACACCCATTAGCACTAGTGTTCCCGAGTCCAAGGCAAACTGCGTATAAGTTAAACAACAGCACAATCTGTAACAATGAATTTACAATTGTGCTAGATCGGTGTTTGTGCCAGACCGACTAATTAAATTAGCATCTGTTGGCACACAAATTCGATGTGCTACGGTGAGTCCCGAGTAACAAGATTAACATTGGGACCCACAGTTGATATCGAGACGTTGCTTTTGTCGGCCTGCCATCTCCAGGTTGGAAATAATCGGTCACCCATTTTTCCGGATGTTCCGTGGTGCAAAGCCAGCGGGAAAAAATAATCTAAAAGCCGGCACCAAGGAGAGTGGCAGGAGAATCATTTTCGTTCACGGGGTGCCCGTTAAAAACAGGTAGAAACGTGGAACCCCACGTCATGACTGGAAGAATGGCAATATTGTGGACGTCATGCCACAGTCGATTGCAATGATACCCTTATTGCCTATCTACAATGGCGATTGTCCCAGTGTACAGGAACATGAAGTTCAGTCATTACAAATGGCGCTGAAATTAACCTGCGCAACACATTTACTTCGGAAATACGATTAT